TGTCCTTATATCAATACTTGTTTACTCTTCTGTGATTATGTGAGCACATCTTGTATCTAGTCACCAACCAATATATAGTATGCGCTCAAATTAACTTTTGATGTGCAAAATGTCCAAATGTGCATTTTACTTTGAGGTATTAAATCCAGTGGCGAACAACTTTCTATAAGGACAATTCACACACACATTACCGCTGCTCAAGGCAGAGAGGCTTCCCAGTCTCCAAGCACAACTCCTCCATAGGTGCTAGCCCAGCTCACGTACTGCACAGATGAAAACAAAAACAAAAGACAGTGGAAATACAGTGGGGGGACTGGCAGGTAAACATGACAGCGCTTATTCATTACCCCATAAGCCCCATAAGCACTGTCCTTAGTGTGAAAAGCGTTTACCTGCCAGTCCCCCCACTGTATTTTCACTGTCTGTATTGGTTTTTATCATAGTTCAATAAAGTGGATTGTTTGGAGTGCAGTCGATGGGACCTTTTTTTTTCATCTTTCTATAAGACCTCAGTGCTCCTCCACTCATAGGGAAAAAAAAAAAATTTTAACAAAAAAAAAATTACTCTTAAGGAAGGATATCTCCCAATTTTACCAGCAAAAGTATATGTCCAGCAGGTTCCAGGAAAGTGAACTGAAAGTGTGTATAGCCTAATTGCAGGCATCAAAGGAGGTGAGCGCACATCTTCACTATTTGAAGGATTCACAAAAGTCACAAGATTGAAGAACAACAAGCACCAAGTCACTATATACAAACAATTATTTATTCAATGGGACTATTGTTTTGATGATGTTTGGATTCATACATGGTCACTACTGGTTTATTTATAGCATTTGGTTATTTTTGTTTATGGGGATCATTTAATGCATTTTAGTTGAGTGTTATTAGTTGGTTTATTATTTTTGTTATATTAAATGAGGGTATTATGAATATAAATGAAATTGAGGGTATTAATTTGTATTGAGAAGTATTTAGGAGCGCAACATATATTTGTAGATATTTCCAACACAGTTGTAGTTATGTGTTTCATGTTTGAGATCCTCTAGTAATTATCACACCTGTGGCTCGCAAGTCACTCTGATTAATCTATTATCTAAGTATTCAACTTGCTTTTGGACAACGAGGGGGCTATTTGTGTTTACTTAATGGTTGGATTTACTGTATTCATTGTAGCTCTTTGTATCTTCAGGCCTCTTTATCACTGTGTTACATATATAGGAAACTTGATGGCCTTTCTTCCTCTTGGTTTTGCCTGCTCTTTGGCCGTCAGGCCCACATGGTTACATTTAGTCTAGTAGGTGGCTTGTATGTGTTACAATCTATGGCACCCTCCTGTACTATTATAGGCTACATATTTTTTATGTGTTTATACATTTAGATTTCTGTCCTGGCCACCTCAATTTCTCCTTGGTGGGGTTGTTGGGTGCTTGACACCCCTGTGCCAGCCTTGGGATCATTGATCGGGCACCCTGCTGTATAGATCAGACTGTGTGAACATATACTGTGATTCTGTGTATTATTTTTGTATTATTTTTGTAAATGTTTATGATGATGGATATGCTGCTTTTTATCAATATGCCCTCATTATTTATCTGGGTCCTGAACAGGGGCGGACTGACCATTTGGAAACTCAGGCACTGCCCGAGGGCCCGGGGTCAGTAGGGGGCCCCATGAGATGCCCCGGTACCTTTTTCATAGGCTTTTTTAAGTTTGGGCAAGGACACAGGGGCCCCATGATCCCCTATTGCCCGGGGGCCCCATGAGTTGTCAGTCGCCCCTTGTCCTGAACAATCCAAACATTACCAAAATGCGTTGACCTTCATGTACTGGAAGAATACTATATACTATCCACATTAGACTCTCACCATTCTATTATTTATACGTGGTTGAGTCAGCTTCTAGAGCCTTTCAGATTTATATGAAGTGCTTCCACTCCCACTGTGTAGAGGGAGCTCTACACTGTTTTTAATAATTTGTAATATAGAATTGTATAATAAAATTGATGTTTTATGGAACTTTGGCTGATCTTTTATGCTGTGCTTATATAGTCTGTTTTTTTTAGGTAGGCTAGTTATTGTTCTCCAGCTTCTACCTCTTTTTTCTTATATATTTTGGATGAGGCACATTGATAGTCACTTCTCCTGTTTTAAAGTAACTTTGGCTTTGCATGGAATGATTTTCATTTGGTTCCTAATGAATCAGTGGAAATTTGCTCTATAGGTGGTCCTGTTGGCACCCTCCCAGCTGACTTAAGGTGGGAATACACGATTAGAAAATTGACCTATCAGTCATCCGACGACCGAGAGGCGTTCGTTTGTTGGTCGAAATTGTGGCCCACAATAACCAATCTAAAAAAACTGTTTGTCGGGCAATACGTAGTGTTGACATCTTGCGTACAAGTGGAAGTGATGCAGTGTTCGTGTGACCTTGTAGCCACGGTCAGAACAAGCGATATACACAACAATTAACAGCTATGAGTATAATATAATTTATGACATTACCTATATACATAAATAGTGATACATAAAAATAGAATATGCATAACTCTGGTTTCATTATCACATTAGGCCAATCTACTTTTAACATTTTTCGTTCGTATTTACAAAGATTCCTTGGACATAAACATCCGGGTCATCTTCTGTCTCCGCTCATGTGTGATATCGCTTGATATATTTTTTTTGTACGACCGACATACCAGCGCATAGAAAATCGGTCATTCGTATGCGAATAGACAACATTTTTCACTGTTTGTTCAACAGGATTTTTTCCTTCACAATATCGTTACCGGTTAAAACATCCTGCTCATCAATGAAGAGAAAATTGTTCGATCAGTGGTTTCACAAAATTTTTCGTTCGATTTTCTTATTGTGTGTATGGCATTACTTTGGATGAAAAATTAAAAAGCCAGGTGGAAAATTATGGATTGAAAAGCACCTGCATTAAATCAGAATCAAGCACTCTTAGGTATTTTGATAACCCGCTGTCTAAATACAATAGCTGTGAAGCATGAAGATTCCCTATTTAGCATAGATGGCGGAATTTTTTTTTTTTTTTTTTGTCGAGACTGCAGGTTGAACAAAAGAAAACTATATGTGTATGGCTAGCTTTGGTCCTAAATAGGCTGAACATTTTTAGATGTATTGTCTGATGCCTGTGGCTTTCTTTTGTTAATTGGGTGCTATTCATAATGTGACAGAAAATCTTGAAGTTTTCATTCCTCCTCTGCATTTTTTAGCTGACATATACTCTAAGGGCAAGTTGACTCATAACACAGAGTCTGTACTAAAATATGGTTGTAAAGAGCAGAAAACATACAGATCTAAGGTAAAATAAGGTCTTGCACAACAATAAAAACCGTTCAGCTACCTGCAGTAAATACCCAAGAGCTTTGTGTGTAAGCTAGCAAACTGCTTTGGTGTGTTTGTGTTTTTTTATTTAACCTCTGCTTCTAAAATGTAGATCTAAAATTTTGCACTTTGAGAAAGCCTGAAGTGCACTTGCGTAATGTTTATAACACATCCTAATTATTCTGCTGCAGTTCTAATTAGACCACAGAAACAACTAATCATGAATTAGGGAAATAACATAATTGGTTTTACTTACTGTATTTTTTGTCTTTTTTTGTATTTTGAAATGTTATTGCTGGTTTAACTTCTTTTCCCAACAACAACCAAGCAATCCTCTCTGCAGGGTGCAAAACTCAGAAGCAGCTTGAAATAGAAAACGACTTGTACATTTAGGAATGCAGGTGCTGCCTTGAAAATTGTATTTGTGATGCTAGTAAATCACCTCGATTGTATAAGAAAATCTGGAGCCTCCCGCATTCACTAATTATTTTCAGTGTATAGATTTAGCTATGTCATTGATTAACATCAGTAGTGTTGGATTCATGCCTTTTGGACAATCTGATGTTTGTAGATATAGTATATAATTTTGTCTTTTTAAAATTAACCTATAATCTGGTTTCTTCTATAGTTTTAATTTAATTTGTAAGGTGCGTATTACATGTGCATACTGTATATAGCACAGTGAGTGTGTTTTACTACTTCTCTAATCTGAAGGCAAGGACACCATGTGCAATTGATCTGAAAAGACCTCTGTTAGCAACAGACATTTATTCAATAGTATCCTTTTTAGGTGGTTTTCTGTAAATTCCTTTCCTGTAATGTTTTTAAAGCAGTCAGTAAAGTGCAACTCAGAACTGTTGACGCGTCCCTGTTGGGGGGATTTCTCATCATTTTATTTTTTGTCACAAGGAAAGAAATGAAGGGAAGTCTACTTAACAGGGATACAGTAAGAAAAATCTTGTCTGCACCAGATGCAAGCAATAAGAAGGTAAATTGTTGGGGTGAATTAATATTTAACCTGATGCTGTCTGCATGGTTCCATCACTTGTCACAGGAGTGTCTCTCAACTAAGTAAAAACCTGGCACCATGATCTTTTAGCGCTCTTTAAGGGGACATTCTTTCCACTGACCAACAATGTAAGGGCCATTTTTTCCCATTCATCTCCAATGTAAAAACCATTGGTCTCCTGACCACGAATGTAAGGAGGCCTTTCTTTCACTGATGGACAAAGTAAAAAGGCCCTTTCCCTACTAACCATCAATGTAAAGGGGTCCTTATCCAATGACCACCAATGTATGGAAGCCCAGTTTATTTACTACTAGAATGAGGTTCAACTTTTCAATGGGTTAAAGGGTTCTGTGTGTTTGAGGTTTGTGTACACAATGAACAAATGCAGGAATTCACTGGGTCGAATTATTTGTACCCATAATGTACTGTATAGCCTTTGAACTTTTATTTAGGCAATTTTATTTGTTAATAATGTCTATTGGTGACTATTTCCTCTCAAATAATATATTCAAATTTCCAATTAAAGATAAAGACACTACAATACACTATATTGCCAAAAGTATTGGGTCACTTCTCCGAATTATTAGATTCAGGTGTTCCAATCACCTCCATGGCCATAGGTGTATAAAATAAAGCACCTAGGCATGCAGACTGCTTCTACAAACATTTGTGAAAGAATGGGTCGCTCTCAGGAGCTCAGCGAATTCAAGCATGGTACCGTGATAGGTTGCCACCTGTGCAATAAGTCCATCAGTGAAATTTTCTTGCTACTAAATATTCCACTGTCAACTGTTAGTGGTATCATAACAAAGTGGAAGCAACTGGAACAACAGCAACTCAGCCACGAAGTGGTAGGCCATGTAAAATGACAGAGCGGGGTCAGCACATGCTGAAGTGCAGAAGTCACCAACTGTCTGCAGAATCAATAGCTAAAGACCTCCAAAGTTCATGAGGCCTTCAGATTACCACAACAACAGTGTGTAGAGAGCTTCATCGAATGGGTTTCCATGGCCGAGCCGCAGCATCCACGGCTTACATCACCAAGTGCAATGCAAAGTGTCAGATGCAGTGGTGTAAAGCATGCCACCACTGGACTCTACAGCAGTGGAGACGTGTTCTCTGGAGTGGTGAATCACACTTCTCTGTCTGGCAATCTGATGGATGCATCTGGGTTTGGCGGTTTGCCAGTATAACTTGTCTGACTGTATTGTACCAAGTGTAAAGTTTGGTGGAGGGGGAAATATGGTGTGGGGTTGATCTTCAGGGATTGGGCTTGGCCCCTTATTTCCAGTGAAGGGGACTCTTAAGGCGTCAGCATATCAAGACATTTTGGACAATTTCATACTCCCAACTTTGTGGGAACAGTTTGGGGATGGCTCCATCCTGTTCCAACAAGACTGCGCACCAGTGCACAAAGCAAGGTCCATAAAGACATGGATGAGTGAGTTTGGGGTGGAGGAACTTGACTGGCCTGCACAGTCCTGGTTCACTCCTAACCTCAACCCAATAGAAACACCTTTGGGATTATTATTATTATCATTATTATACAGGAATTATATAGCGCCAACAGTTTGCTTAGCGTTTTACAATATAACGGGAGACAATACAGCAACAGTACAGTTAAATACAAGAGGGATAGGAGGGCCCTGCTCTTCGGAGCTTACAATCTAGGAGGGAGGGGATGAATTAGAGTGGACACTTCTCAGCCTTCCCAGAAGAGTTGAAGTTGTTATAGCTGCAAAGGGTGGGCCAACTCAATATTGAACCCTACGGACTAAGACTGGGATGCCATTAAAGTTCATGTGTGTGTAAAGGCAGGCGTCCCAATACTTTTAGCAATATCGTGTTTGGCTACTGTCTCTTTTATTGCAATATGAAACCTACTTTCTGCCATTATAAGTTCTTGCATGCTGTCTTGATGCTAAACCATTTCTACTAGACACGTACACTAACTGAAGTGAAAATTGGGAATATGGGTATGGGTAAGGGCAGACTGACAGCTCATGGGGCCCCCGAACAATAAGAGATAATGGGGCCCCCTGTGTCTTCACCTACACTCAAGCCAGAGCAACACCCCCACACACACAAAATAACTTTGTGGGGTCCCCTATCCATTCAAACCAAGCCCTTTGGGTCCGGTGGACCTCCACGCCAAAATAAAAGAAAAATGGCTTGGGGTCCCCCCCAAGATCTGTACCAGACGCTTATCTGAGCATGCAGTCAGGTAGTTAAGGAAAGAGGAGGGACAAGCGAGCACCCCCCTCCTGAACCATACCAGGCCACATGCCGTCAACATGGGGGGTGCTTTGGGGGGTCCCCCCCCTAAAGCACGTTGTCTCCATGTTGATGGGGACAAGGGCCTCTTCCCCACAACCCTGGCCTGTGGTTGTGGATGTGTGCGGGCAGGGGGCTTATCGGAATTTGGAAGCCCCCTTTAGCAAGGGGGCCCCCAGATCCCGCTCCCCCCATGTGAATGAGTATGGGGTACATGGTACCACTACCAATTCACAAAAAAAAAGTATAGTGTGAAAAAAGACATGAGAGAGTCTTTGACAAGTCCTTTATTAAAAGAAGAAAAATAAAAGAATGTCCCCCGAAGTAGATCCAACATCAATCAGGATGTCCGCCGCCATCGCTACCCGAGAAAGAAAAAAACAAAAGTTCCACTCCAGATGCTGGTTCCCGGCCGTTTAACTGCTCAGCTAGCTTGACAGTTCTCAAATATGTAAGGGGCGGGGCCACCCAGTGACATTATGCTTGTGGCTCCACCTCCTTGTGACATCGTTGACACCAGCGTTGGGAGCGGAGTCTTTTTTTTTCTGGTAGCGGCGGAGGACATCGTGATTGGCGTTGGATCTACTTCGGGTACATTCTTTTATTTTTCTTCTTTTAAAAAGGACTTGTCAAGGACTGTCTCCTGTCTTTTTTCCCACTACACTTTTTTTTGTGAATGGGTAGCGGTACCATGTACCGCATACTCATTCACATGGGTGATAATTGGGAATATGGGTATGGGTAGGGGCAGACTGACAGCTCATGGGTCCCCCGAGCAATAAGAGATAATGGGGCCCCCTGTGTCTCCACCTACATTCAAGCCAGAGCAACACCCACACAGCACCCCAAATACATATTGCTGCTCAGCTGCATTGAAAGGGCATTGAAAATAATAATAATAAAAAAAAAAACAACAACTTTGTGAGGTCCCCTCTTCATTCATACAAAGCCCTTTGGGTCTGGTATCAGTTTTGACTCATTCACATGGGGGGGCGGGATCTGGGGGTCTCCTTGATAAAGGGGGCTTCCAGATTCTGAAAAGCCTCCCGCCTGCAGACCCCCACAACCACCGGCCAGGTCCTTGTCCCTATCAACATGGAGACAAAGTGCTTGGGGGGAGAGCCCCCTCTGCCCCGAAGCACCCCCCCATGTTGAGGGCATGTGACCTGGTATGGTTCGGGGGGCGCTCGCTCGTCCCCCCCTTCCCTGACCTGCAAGGCTGCATACTTGGATAAGGGTCTGGTATGGATTTTGGGGGGGGGGACAACCAGACAATTTTTTTAAAAATGTTGCCACGTGGGTTCCAAATGCATATTAGACACAAAGGGCTTGGTATGGATGGAGGGGGTCCCCCAAGTCGTTTTTTTAAATAATTTTTTTTAATTGCAGGCAACTCTCTCTTACATACAGCTGTCAGCTGGGAACCCCTCTGACAGCTGAAACATGAACGCATGGTTTTCACTGCTAAAACACTGCATGAATTGATAAAATAACTCATGCAGTATTTTAGTAGCATTTTTTGGTGAATTCAAGCATTTATTTTAAAATATGCTATGCGTTATCCTACCGCATACTCGGATGCTGTAAGATACCGCTTAGTGAATTGTGCCCAGTGAGCCTCTCATCAGGCCCCTTACTGACCCCAGGCCCTCGGGCAATGTCCTAATGGTCAGTCCGCCCCTGGGTATGGGAGAGAGTTAAGAGAAAGTAGGGTTGTGGTTTTGAAGTCTTTTTGTGCATTCTAATGTGATATTTTAATAAAATGTTAAGACAATGCAGTGTGGTACTGCTAAAAAGAATTTCACAAACTATATTATTAGGGCTGGTCCACATGCTTTCCTCATTCCTGTGTAATTCCTGTATGATTCAGTGCAGTGCAATTTTCAGGCCATTCATTTGAATGGGCTAAAATTGCACTGGATTGCAAAAAGAATGGTGCATGCAGTTCTTTTCACAAAGTCACCACACCAAATCACAAGGTATTGGGGTACCATGCGATCTGGTGCAGGCAAACACACTGCATTTGCAAACTACGTTTAGGGTGTCACTAAGAATACACTTGCAGCAGATCACACACCCAGTGCGTTTTGAATGGGGTGCAGGAAAGGCTCATGGAATGTTCCTTTCCCACACTGTGCTGATGTGAACTAGCCCTAAAACTGGTGTGCCACTGGCAAATTTTACAAAGTTAAGGGATTTAGCATATTTATTTTTTTCTAAGAGTAAACTTTAATTTATCTTTTAGATCTGTTGTGGCTGCTACAACCACTATTCAATTCAAGCCAATTACTGCTTGATAATAGCAGCCCAGCTCCCCATGCCTTTTTGACAGTACCTTGACTATTAATCTTGACAATGGTTAGAATTTAATATCAAGATCTGACCACCCCCTTTTCTTCACAGCTTTAGTAGGGTTCACTGCTAAGCTCAGATTTCATGGATCCCAGGGAGGATTCAATGAACCCCCTGGCAATTGAACCTGGGCATATTCTCTCTTCTCTATTGACCACCAATGTAAAGGGTCTCTTCTCCACTGATCACCATTGTAAAAGGGCTCTTCTCCACTGACCACCATTTTAAGGGGAACTACATTGACCATCAATATAAGGGTCACTTTTTTTCACTGACCAACAATATAAGGGGGGACCTCTTTACTTACCACCAACGTACAGTATATAATGCCTGAACAACAATGTAATATTCTCCACCTCTAGCAACCAATACAATGCAAGCAGGCACTCCTAACCATCAATGTAATGAGGCATTTCCCCATTTCCCACGAATGTAAGGGGGCACATTTCAGCTGTTCACCAATGTAAGGGTGTCCGTTTTTAGTATTTATTGCATACCATAAATACTGCTGAGTTTTTTTTCGGCATAGAGAGGAGGAAGTAATAAATAATGATCGGCAGCAGCTACAGGACCAGCGATATAACCGTACGTCACTGGCATTGTAGTAACACAGGGGGGCTCTGCGTGCCTGAGCAGGTGTGTAACCCTCCCCCCACGTCTGATGTGTCCACCGTACACAGCTGAATGAAGATCCCGGTGAACGAGACCCGGTGATCATGTGATCACTATGTGATTGTTAACAGCTCTGCTTTTCTTACTGGTGAGCTGTGATTGGCCCACAGCTCTCACATGATAAATGGGGCCAATCACAGCACCCTGTACCATGTTTCCAGCTGGAGTCAATCACAGATCACTGTACCTTAAACTGTCATGAACTTAGAACATTCATGACAGTTCAAAGCAAACATTGCAAAAATTCCTGATCACACCCTATGTTACTATGGTAATATTTTACTACTCTGATAAAAGTATTTAAAAAAAAATAAATAGCAAAAAAAAAAAAAAATAATGTTAATAATAAAATAAAAATATTGAGATAATTTTTTTTATAACTACTTGCTGGCCGCCCGCCTGCCCTCCTGCCTGCTCACAATGTGCTGGCGAGTGGCGGCTCTGGGCAAAGCAACGTACGTCCTTACGTCGCTTTCTACATTGCTCAAAAAAATTAAAGGAACACTTTGAAAACACATCAGATCTCAATAGGGAAAAATGTCATGCTGGATATCTATACTGGTATGGACTGGGTAATGTGTTAGGAATGTAAGGATGCCCCATCGCTTGATGGAAATGAAAATTATCAACCTACAGAGGACTGAATTCAAAGACACCCCAAAAATCAAAGTGAAAAAATGATACAGCAGGCTAGTCTGTTTTGCTGAAATTTCA